GAGGTGTAATAGCTAACATCGCTCCATGTTTCAGTTATAAGTCCCTAGAGTTATTGGGTACAGCCAGGAAAGCAGCATCAAGCCCCGTGATAGTCTACAAGTAGAGATGCTCCTCTAATACTGTACTCAGTCCTGCTGTTCGGTTCACCTGAAACTGTCTCCAGGATATGTGAGGCAGAAGGGAAGAACTGGAACAATGGTCTCCAGGTGGCTTCCAGCAAAACAGATTAGAACAGATAGAGTAATAGTATGTTGAAGTTATAAGTAGTTTGTGAGTTAACCAGAGGCATATACCCAAGGTAACAGAAGTCTGTTACCCCAAAAGTGTAATAGTATTAGAGAATTGTTAAGGATTCTAAGACCTTAGTTTGAGGTGAAGATAAGGCCTGTTCTCAGAGGGTTGACTGTTATTAGAGCCTATGGGTAGGCAACCACCGTAGGGGTCTATTGGGGGAGCTATGTTGCAATCATCCAGAATGATACCGAATAGAGTAGAACTAGATAGATGTTGAGAGGCTGCAGATGCTCGCATAAGACTTAGTGCATGTTGGTAGAGAGTTTCAGACTTGATATAGTATCCCCATAGGCATAAGACCTGGCCACTGACATTTCCATGATGTAAAGAGTTTTTACTCCCATGATTGCTTTGCAGATGTAGCAGCTAAAACACTTCTGGCTGGTAGATGTTAGAAAACTACAGAGAAGTCTCGTTGGTTACAGAGGATCTTTGGTCCGACCTGGGGAGGTTGACTAGACAGCCGATTGGAGTTGGCTGCTCATGAACACAGAGTAATGATGGGGAGCAACTAGCAGTATATGAAATCTACATATGCATATGCGAGTTCATGTCTACTCTAGCAATCAACTACCTCTCAAGATAAAAACTTAATTGAGTAATAGCTCTGCCTTAATGATATTACATTTTAGAATTTTGTTTCCTCAAACTCTATTGCGGAGATGTTGAAGTTTTTTTATATTTATTGCGAAAACAAGTCATTTTGGTTTGGTCACAACCTCAGGATCAATCTTCGCAGAGGGAGCCCATGTTACAGTATATTGTTAAGCGAATAACCTTGCATAACTCTTCCTACTCTGGAGAATTGTTGGTTTTGACCTGCTTGAATTAATATTATTTGAGTACAAGTTACAGATCTAGTACTAAACCATCGTGTGGAAATTACAATGTCAAACCAAGCCGGTCACTTCAACTCTGCTACAGTAGATGAGTACAAGTAATGACTTTGACAGGAAGCATTTGCGGATACCCATAGCCTTAGTTGTGAACCCATAGACCTAGTCCTTGATGTTACCAATATTAATCTCCTACATGATTACAAGGAAGTTATTGTTCAAGATCTTGCTGTCTTATTCTAATAATTCACCCAGCAGCAGCTTCGAATTCTGCTAGTGCTAGAAGGACAAGTGTAAGGTTTTAGTCTTGCTCATTTTTCTTAGGAAGTCATAGATTCCTCTATCCTTCTTGAAGCTATGAAGCAGATGGAGGCTCAAAAACAAATAGAATACTGGAATGAGTAAGTACAGACTAAGTTTAGGATGGGAATGGCTACAGCAGCTACTGAGCGGATGTGTTTACAACATGGGATATTTATACAGAAAATCAGTAACACCCGAGTCCTAGCCAAAATGATCTCCGTACTGGAAGAGGATACACATATCTGGCACTAGATTGATCCTGACAATGATACCATCAGGTCAACTTTGCGGAGACCTTAACAGCTGTCTTACTAACTCTCAATATCAGGAATACTTGACTGAATTAGGTATACTGATAGTGGGTCAACAGTCACATGTGCTAGTCTCTCCTCTTAGTTCTCACTTCCATGCCCAACTCAAAGAAGCACTCATTGTAATACTGTACTGTAGAAACCAACAAACCCCAAACCTAGCTTTGAGGTCTCGTCCAGGCGATAGTGCTCAAAGGGTGAATAGGTTCAAAGTTCTGCCTTGAATTCTCCAATCAGCGAAGCATTAAATAGACTTGCCAGATATCAAGGATACTCCAATACTATGTCCAAATGTCCCTATACCTGACCGGCCTTACCAAGTGGCAGTAAACACCCACCTGCCAAGGCTGTAGTATCGTACTATTATCATTAAACTGCCCCTGTCCCTCTAATGCCTAGTGTACCTGATGTACTAACAAAACCTACTGATGTAACCACTTTCTTTGAGATACTTAGGCAAAGAAGGCAGGTGAGAGAAAGCAATACTCTGGTGGAAGAATGAGTCCAAAGGGATTTGTTCACAGGGGTTTTAGCTATCTGTTTCACTGGTTGTATGATCATGACCTGGCCTCATTTCTCAAGGGCTACCAATGTACTGAACTGTCCTAATCATTTTTCAAGTCAAGTGTACAAGAAGCCTGTTAAAGGTCCGAAGATCAAAAAGTACAAATATTCTTACTGTAGTTCATGATTGTAGGTGTGACCTCCAGCATTACTGGAAGGCTGTCTGGAATGCCATCGGTTTGTTAAGGGTTGGTATAGAGTGACTCCGAGTTTTTCGGTAGCTTCTCCTTTACCTGATCCACCTCCAATACCTTTGTCTCTTCTGGAGGTGGTTCCTCTAAGTGACAGATTACAGGAAAGCGCTGACTCCTTTGGTGGGTATGATAGACCCACTAGTGGCCACAGTCGGAACACTAGCGGTAGTGGAGAGCAACTCCCTCCTGGCAGAAATGTTGATGCTAGTGGAAACCAGGGTGATTACAGTTGCTATGCTAGCAGTAATGATAGAGATGCTGACTCCAAACCTGATTTCTCAGAATTCCTAGAAAGGTAAAAGCCAACCTGGTCTGGAAAGAGGAAGAGAACCTATGACCAATGGGTATGCAGATTGCTGCATGCCTTGATGTCACTGAGTGGAGTACCTGGAGCTGTTAAGTTCTGTGATAATACAGGTTCTCCAAAGATTAAGTCTAAGAAGGCCAAACAATTAGGTAAAGCAACCACTTTCAAGGGAGATACAATCGACACTCAGTTGTTCATTAGTGTCTTGGAAATCACGTTTTAATACTTCTGAGACTCTGTCTCATAAGAATCGGACAAGATCAGGGTGGTTATCTCTCTTATTCACGGTACTACTAAAACTTGCAACTTGGGTCTATACTAGTATATCAGTGATGATAAATTCCAGGTAGGTATGCTGTTTGACCATAACCATGTGTTTCGTACATAGCGGGTATTTAGAAAGCCCATAATGGTAAGTTCGATGCCCAAATTGATCAGGACCGTGCCTTAAGCCAGTAGACAAAACTGCAGATAAAGGCTTGATAAGTAGACCACTACTTAGATTCAGTAATGGATCTCCTCGGTCAACTGGATTACATGGACCCTAAGATAATCAAGGACAAGATCCAAATAATCATGACATCCTAACTACAAAATCTCTGGGTTTATGAGATACCCCATCATACCAATATGTCCAAATATGTAGGCCTTCAGTGGAAGAGAGGCCATGTCCTGGAAGACAATATTACTTTCAGTAAGACAGTTACCAAGAGCTGAGGTGAAACTCAGGGCAAGTACAAGGAGAGGTTATCAACCTCAAGAAATGTACCGAAACAGAAAGAAAAGAGTTTGAGTAAGACAAACTTTAAGCACCACATATCTTCTTCTAGTACATCACAGTAGCAAGAAAATTCCAGGCATGCTAACACATATGACAACATCTTGTCTATACTTAATGATAAGCAAACAAAAGAGTCACAGTGTACGCAATGTGGAGAGCTGGGTTGCTTTTTCAGAAAAATGTTTCTCTGTTGACCCAGTTATTAGTACAGCCAAAGGGATTAAGTTAATGAGCAAGAAACGAAAGGCTCAAGATGCAGAAATCAATAAAGTATCTAACAACAAAGTCTATAGTATTGAAGCATTACATTCAAAGAATTTGTTAGAAGTCCGAAGATCATCTCCAGATATTAGAGAAGTCAATACAGATGCTGAGAAATAAGTAAGTTACTTCCCACAAAGGAAATAAAAAAACTCTAACATAACTTCTGGAAGTTATGCAGAAAACTCCTGGAGTCAGCACGCCCTAGAAATCCTGCAGTCAATATAGACTGATAAGGGCTCTTAAATGTTCTGTACTGTCGTGGTCTGCAAAGAAACAAGGTAGTTGAAGAATTTTAAGGCAGATGTGAGGGTTCTCTATTGACATTGTCTTAATTTATTTCTCCTTTGTATTCTTGTTATACTGATACAGGAATATGTTGTTTTCATACTTTGATAGAATATTTTCTTAGTAGTTGAAGTGGATTTGTTTTCTTTTATTTCAATTAGTTAATTTTCACATCAGGCTACTCTTGATTAGAGCAAGGGAATTTAGTTAACAAGTTTGCTTGAGGCAGATTTAGTACCCGAAATCATGCTAGTGTGATAGTAAACACCCTCGCTATTAATACCCCATGGTTTGAAACCCAAACATCTTTGACCAATTGTGGCCACTCTTGTGTTAAAAGGTAAAAGACTTACATTACTATATTTATAAATAAAAACTCAAAGAAGCTGGTAAGCATTTCAGGCCCTCCAAAACATATTAAGTCTATCTAGGTTTGCATTAGACTAGAATAGTACTGTGGCATAAGAGTTAGTATAGCTGAAGCTTTGTTGTTATTGGATAGTAGCACTACAGGAGCACTGCTAAGCATAAAATGGGTAACAGAGTTACAAGTCCCTTGCATCCTGAGGAAATTTGTAGCTTCTATTCAGAATGCTAGCTGGAATGATATTTCCAACTCAGGTCTTCATAATAGTAAGATCCTGAAGATGTATATTGCTGGTCATGTCAATGACATTTGATTTGAACTGGCAGATATATCTGATAAGAAGATCAATAGTTATCTGCCGGTGTCATGGCTCCATAAATATGATACCCATATAGACGGAGAGACTAAGAGTTTCACTTGGTGATAAGTTCTATGTAAAGCTAAGTGCCTAGTAGGACAGAGACAGTGAGAATTCATAATTGAAGAAGAGCTATTAGCAGAAGACCAAGCTCAGGTATATCTTCTTAGATATACCCAGTTTACCGGAGAAGACGGCAAGGATATCGCTTTTAGTCTTCTTGCTGAATATGAGAACTATAGCCATATATTGAGTCAGTAAACAATAGATGCGTTACCAGAGTATTCAGAATATAATCACAAGATCAAGTTCATACCACAAACAACACCTTCTTCTGGTACTATATACCCCTAGTCTGAGAACAAGCTCAAAGTGTCACCAACCTATCTTGATACAATGCCGGCAATGGTAAAGATAAGAAGATCTAATTCCCCTGCCACACCCCCAATTCTCTTTGTACCCAAAACTGATAGTTTATTGAAATTATGTATTGATTATAGAAAGACGAATAATATTATAGTAAATGGTAAATATCCTTTACCATTGATGAATGAGCTGTATAATAGACTTGAAAAGGCCACTGTCTTCACTAAGTTGGCCTTGAAGAATAGGTAATATCTCCTTCAGATGGGAGAAGAACAAGAAGCAAAAATAGTATTTTACTGTCATTATGGGTTGCATGAGTATACAGTAATGCCATTTGGACTATGCAATGCTCTGTCTAAGTTCCAGAGTATGATAAATCATGTATTCTGAAACTTTTTAGATGAAGGATTTATCACTTATATAGATGATATCCTGATATACTGTGAAACTCTAGAACAACATATCCCTCTCATTCAACAGGTTATGGAAAGACTATATGAAGCTAAGCTTATTGTAAGTAGTAAGAAATCTACATTCTATCAAAACAAAGAGGAATTTCTAGGACACCATATAATCGACCATGCTATCATGATGACCACAGAGAAGATAAAGTTAATTGAAGTTTGCACACCACCAAAATCAGTTCTTAATGTACAAAGCTTTCTGGGTTTTGCAAACTTCCATCGTCAGTTCATTAAAATTTTTAAGAACGATAACAAAGTCATTGACTGACATAATGAAAAAGGATATCAAATGGAAATAAGGTCCAAGGTATGATGTAGCCTTTAGTCCCCTTAAAGCAAGATTTATGGCAAGCCCCATTCTAGCCCATTTTGATCTGGAACTGTTAACCAAATTGGAAACTGATGTTATTGATTTTACAATGAAAGTCATACTATTAAAATTACGTGTAGATCATAGATGTTACCTGATAGCCTACAATAGTTGGAAGTTCTCACCCATGAAGATAAATGATTATGTGAATGATAAAGTAATGTCAGTAATTGTAGTGTCATTTAAAGAATGAGATCATCACCATTCAGTATCTGATAATATATCTATTTGCAATAATTGTAAGAATATGGAGTGCTTTAGGTGTACAGCGGGGGGCAAAAATACGTTCACATTTTTTAGGTGTTTGGGCTTACTACAAATGTCAACATATTTTTGCCTCCTGCCATACTAAGATACTGAATTACAGGCAGCATCAAGGAGCAGAATTCCTTCAACCATTTAACTATGCAGTTGTCAATTGTCAAGAGTTCGTTGATGGCAAGATTGATACTTTGTCGAGGTATTATGAGTTCCATCCTGAATGGGGCAGTAATTCTGCGAAATTGGGTCAGGGAAAAATGTTTTTCCTTCCTGGAAAGGATTTGGAAAATCAGAAGTGAGATATCTTACTACAATAGTTATTGCAACTGCGCCAAAGCTTTAGGTTGGAATGAGCAATACTAGACATAATAAAGCACGATCACTGAAGACAATACTTATCGAAGAATTTCCAAGTCTGTCACTTACTGAGATGAAAAGGGTCACCAGAATTTTTCTATTGAGATAGACTTCCTCTTGTAGAGGAGGCATTGGTACAGACCAGTGGATCAAGGGCTAAAGATACAGATCACGTAGGTGGATCATAACTCTCACCTAGTCCAATATTTTAGAACTTATAAGACTATTAACAACATTAAAGCAAACTTCTATTGGCCCAAAATGGATGGCTATATTGAAGACTATATTGAGTATTATAATATCTGTCAAAGGGTAAAGACAGTCAGACTGAGAAAGTTTGGACTCTTAAAACCAATAGAGGTTCCTATGAGGCCATGGAATGCAATCTTAAGGAAATTTATTGTGGTGTTACCAGAATCTGAAAGGTTTATGAAATTCTGGGTCATTTGTTAGGAATACCGGGATCTGATACCTAGGAATAACCCTAAGTAGGGTAACCTCACTCGGAATCAGAATTCCTGGTCTCTAACACCTCCCCTCCTGCCCCCTTACAGGGCCCACAAGTCATCATACAAATCAAACTGAGTTGCATTCTGTGACTATAATGCCACAGAATTGACGGTGTTGAAGTAAGCCAGTATACAATGCCGCCGTCATTGCAACTGGATCTTGTTCACAGGTTACTTGAGAGGGTACCTTTGGCAAGGTCTGGGAAGTAGAACGGAGTAAATCTGTCAATTATCCAGAATGTTACTGGGCTTCATAAATGTAACATCTTTACCATAGGCCATAGGTAACGGGACATTTTCGTACAAAGAAATGATATCAAATGATAAAGGATCTCAACAAGAGACCAATACATTCCCATCTATACTACAATAACTAGAAGAGTCTAGAACTCCGAGGGACACTACCATAGAGGTCAATGGACTTTATGGAGTGTTGCAACTAGGTTTCAAAATACCTTGTTGCTGCAAGGATGACTCCCAATACTACAACTGCGATTGAAACCTTGTTGCCAAGAGTAACTAAGGGTTGCTGACCAAGGGAATATTTGTCAATCCAGCATAATAGTATTATGTTAATTAGTAGGAAGTCCTGTCAATGATATCTATCAGTTGGGTAAGGAGTTATGAAGATTTGAAGTCAGGTGACCAAGAAAGGTTGTGATTACAACTACCTTTGCAGATGCAATCAGCAGACGAAACTCATCATTTTATCAAGGACCGAGATAATTGGGGCCAACTCAGTTTGACTTGAGAACTAGTCCATATGTCTAAAGACTCTAATAATTTCATATCTACTATTGGGAACAGTATGGTCTCTAGTTAGTTATATCGTAATTGCTAAAGAGGACATGTTGATTTTCAGGGTCTCCAGGTGTTCACACCTTTTAAAGAATATCTGATATTGCAAGTTATAATCAGAAAGCTACATAGTTGTAAAATGAATAGATGTAGTCCGTGAATACACAGACGTGGAATATAACTATTGAAGTACCTTCCAAGCTTTAGACATCATCAAGTAATGGAGAAGAGGCCTTAACAATATAATATTGTCTTCACGATTCAATTCTACTTTACCAATTTTTACTTCACTCTTAGTAGTCATAAACGAAATGAGTGAACTCCGCACCTTCCTAGACAATCTCCGTCTACAGAAACAAATTTTGGTTGGCCTAGACAACTCTCATATTTATCAGGTTGTTTCTGCCTACTATCATAGTTGATAGGTTTTCAAAAATGGCAGATTTCATCCTCTTAGCTACAAAGATAACAATCAAGGAACTTGTACTTATATTTCTCAAAGAGATCTAAATACTGCATAGAATGCAAGAATCAGTTATCTCCAGTCAAGATTGTCAATTCATGTTAAAGTTTTGAGTTAGCTTAATGCAACAATGGGAGGTAAAACTCAAGGTCTCAACGGTATTCCATCCAGAAAATAATTGTCAGAGTAAGCTAGTGAATCAGACCTTGGAACAATATCTGAGAGGTTATTGGACCTACCAGCAAGATGACGGGGCATCATTACTACCACAAGTGGAGTGTGCCTACAAAACATCTACCACCTAGTCCACGAGTATATCACTGTTTGAGATTAACTATGGATTCACTCTGAGGACAAATTTGTCTGGAATTGTTCCTTATAACATCTAGGTTCATAGGAGTACAGTGCTGTTAGTTAAGGATTGGAAAGGTAAATGACAAGACATACGAGAAACATTACAGAAAGTACAGAAAAGGGAATGGAAATGGCATAATACGAAGAGATTACCATCGCTGGAGTATGTCCTCTTAGATGATCTAGGACAATGCAGAGCAATTAAGGCAGATCAGGTAATGCTAAATGACCAAAATAACTGTACAAATAATGTTATAGAGAAACTAGATCACAGAATATCTGACCAGTTTGTAGTTACACAGTGCATAGATACTGGAGCATATGAACTCCAGTGGCCTGCCTATTGGTCAATCTATTGAGTATTCAATGTTGAATTATTAGAACTCTACCATAATGATCAGACTAAGAGAAGGGTAAAGAATGTCCGTATCCCTGACATCATGAAAGATGAGCCCAGTTATGATATCTTAGGAAAGTGAGAAAGCCAGTGGTATGGTGGAACAAAGCCGAGCTTCCTCCTCAGTTTGTTCAGTGCCTTATATTAGGGAAAGGATATGACCTGAAGAAAGTTCTTGGGAATGGTTCAAGATATTGAAATGAACAGGCATGTAAACCTTAAGAAATATTCACAAAATGTACCTATATAGACTAAGGGACTATAGAGTTGTAGATATACCAAGTCATGAAAATAAGAGATGTCACTAGACTCACGTAAGTAGAGCATTATAGAAGAGGAAAGTGATGTAACAAGACTCCAAGGAGTACTATTACACTAGGCCAAACCTTTAACCATACTAGTAGTATGAGACTACCACAATAGGAATCGTGGTAGACAATAGTCTACTGAGTAGTGCTAGAGTTTGTTTGGTATCACAGTCAGACAAGCTATGCTATACTAAGAAGTCTATAGGCAATAGTAAGAAGCTATTGTTACCTTTCTATATAAGGTAATCCAAGTAGTCAATTTGAGAGTTAACCTGAATCACTCAATGGTGAGTTTAGGTGGAGTTACCCTACCATCAGACTAGAGTTACCCTACCTTATGCCGTGCACTACCCTGCGATGGAGCCAAGTTATCATAGCTTAAAAGTTACTTGTTAGGCAGGACTTTGGAGGAAGCTGTTAAATTGTTTGTCATGCAAAACTAGATCAGTTATTCCCATCTCAAGTCATACAGATTACTTCCATACAACTAGTTAAGCTCCAAACAACTTGTGACCTAGAGTTGTAGTAGCTAAGACCCTACTCTGGGTCTGCTATAAGTCCCTAGCATTATAGACTACAGCCTGGATAGTTGCTATAAGTCTAGTAATAGTCTACAAGTAGAGATGCTGCTGTAATACCATAGGTGCTCATGCCATCCAGTCGACCAGAAGCTATCCTCAGGATATAGGAGGTGGAAAAGGAGAACCAGGAGAATGGTCTCCAAGTGGTTTCCTGTAAAACGTACCAGAACTAAAGAAGTAAGACCAGTTTGAAGTTAGAAGTAGTATATGAGGTATTAGGATTACTGTGATCTGATACTGAGGAACCATCCTAATTAGGGTAACACCAGTTGGAATCGGAATCTCTGGTCTCCAACACTCCACTCCTGTCCCCTTACAGGCCCTTACTTTATCATTCATATTTATCTTAGTTGTGTCCTGCAACTATAATGCCAGACAATTGAAGTTACCAGAGTAACACCATATATGTTACCACTGCCTATCTGACCAGATTTTTTTTGTGGGATATATGGGAGGAGACCTTCGGCGAGGTCCAGTAAGTGAAACAGAGTTAATCCATCAACTACTCAGAGAGCTAGTACACTTCAAGCATGGACAATTTGTAGTACTGACAGTAAGTGATGGGACTTTCTCATACAAAGATATGATATTAAACATTAAAAAATCTCTAGAAAGTGCCAACAAATTCTCATCTACCCTACAATAATTAGAAGAGTCTAAGCCTCCGAGGGACCCTACCAAGAAAGCCAATGGACCTGGTAAAGTGTTACAACTATGTCAAGGGATATGTCATAGTTACTGCTCCGTTCCTAGGCACTGCAACATACGCCAATCAACCAACCACCCCACTCCTATTTTGATCTTCCCGAAAAACATCACGGAAAGCCGGGAAAGAAAGGGGGAATAGTAAAGACATTTATAACAAGCTGGTTCTACAAACAAGGAACTAGAAAAAAAATAGACACATTACCCTCAACTCAGCGCCAGCCATCTTTGATTAATCTGTTTCCTCCTTACCTGTAAAACCGCGTTAGAGTCTCATTCACAACTCTGCAGGAACAAGAGGAGGAGCAGGAGAAGGAAGAAAAACATACCATGGGAGAAACGAACCCAACACCAACCCCCAATGCCAAAATCGTCCCAACAAGTTGAATCTTGCTGAATCCCTTACCCAACACGTCAAACGGCATGCTCGGCGTTACCCTAGTGCCGAACAAGTCCCCGCCGTAGGCGAAGATTATGCTGGTACTTTCTAATTGCGCGGGGGTTGTGACGATGTCTGTGATGCCGAGTAATTCGCGTTTGTGGTTTATTACAGATCTAGGGTCTATTTCCAGTGCAGGGGCGTACTTCATCAAGCCCTCCTCTCTTTCTGCTTCGTTAGGATCGCGGTCGACGGGGCGGCGGGGGTCAAGCAGGCGTTTTGGCAGGGCGATGATGGAGGAAGACCACGGCATCATGGCCAACACTTCGCGGGTGGTGATACCTTGCTTCGTCGTCGTGACCCCTATGGAGGAAATCTCCGCTGGGAAGATGTAGGAGTGACTAAGGACATGTGGTCTGCCAATCTCCCCCGCGAGGGCAGAGTACGTCTGCGCTGCAGCTAGGGAGCCCCGGGAATTTGGCGACCGGGACTCGAAGAGCTCACTGACAACCAGGTGATACCCTTTTGCCGCGGGCTTGCCGTTGGCTTCCTCTGTGCCGAAGTAGCTGTATACCAGCCAGTTTTCAGACATTGCCGCGGTGATGGGTTTGGTGGTGTCAGCTCCCGCATGAATTGCTGAGTATAGGATTACGCCGGAGACGGATTCGAGGATGTAGATTGAGGCGGAGGAATGTGAGGGGTCGGTAGTAATGATTGTGATAAGGTTCATGTTGATGTACTTGTACATGACTGAGCGGTCGCCGAGAACTCTTCCAATGGAGGCTATGGGGTCGTAGGCTGGGCGGTTGATGATGGAATGTATCTTCTCGGTAGGTTGGGGCGCAAAATCCCACGTTTTCACAGTGGCTAAGGTGATGTTGTCTACTCGAAGACCATTGAGGTGTCCGGCATCTCCCCGGACAACAATATATGTGGGTTCTCCAAGACTAGATCCTGGTGGTAGAAGAGCGATCTTGTCTCCTTCTAGCACAGCCATTATGACCTTGCTCTTTCCTCCCCTCTCCAAGATAGCTGAGCTCTTAACACGGCCACCACCATTGACCCCCTTAGTCAAAACCTTCCCTTCGAAAGCGTCGACTTCCCAATATTCGCCTCCAAATGTGATAATTCCCGCAGTGCCCTTCGAAACTTCGTATATCTGCTGGACGCCCTCCCATTGGCCTGCGTCTTCGCTGGACACGAGTGACAGTTCCCAAACGATGGCACCCCTCCTTCCGACGTCAAGGGCAACAAGCCCACCTTCCTTTGTGGCGAAGACGGCATACTTTCTAAATCCAAAGAAATCTCTCCATTTCCCACCCCTCTCGTCTTTGATTTCATTATTCAGGAAAGCATCCATAACTCGTCCAGGAATGCTTGTAAGCCAACCAGGGCCATAAGTGATGAGTTCATGGGCGTGCCTGGTAAGACGGTGAACATAAGCTCCGACGACATCCTTGTGACCCTCGACATCAAGCTCCTCTGCGACCTTTTCAGCAGCGGGGTCCAGGAGCTCCACCCAGGCAGCGGCAGTAGCAGAAACAAGAGATTCTGGTCTTGACCATATAGGCTTGCCATTGCGGATGAGGTAAGTGTTGCCATGAAACCCGGGTGAGGACGTGGTAATGAATGTGCGAACGGCGTACTTCTTTTCCATCTTAGGGATAATTTCCGAGATAGCATTAAGGACAGAAACGTCTCCGCTGTTCACAGAGTCGGGGGCATATGAATCTAGAACATCAGCTGATTTGCTCCCGTATAGAAAACTTTCTCCGTTGGGTAAAGTCCATGTAATGTAGGTCTCGCTTCCAGATTCAGTAACAGAAAAAGCACTTCGAGCAGCTTTTGCGTCCAGTGAGTACAAACTATTAACAGCGCCGTTCACCTGATCCACGCCATAAACCTCCGCCCATGACTTGTCCTCGGTTTCATAGTGTACGAGGATAGTTTTGCCAGAAGCTTGAAACTTGATGTCCACGACGCCCCCAGGAGCAGCAACAGAGATTGCGGAGGATTTAGCACCAATAACGAGAAACTTGATCTGGCTCAAAGAGTTCTCTGTCCAAGCGACAACCGGCCCCGAGCCATAGATCTTATCACTAGGTTGGATGTAAGCTGAAATGCTGGACGATGAGAGTATACCGGTTTCGGTGGGAATTGTTGCAATGCGGAGACCACTCGAGGGTTGTTGGTACAAACTGAAGACGTTGTTCCCCTGAATGGATAGTGATTGTGGAATGTCCTTGCTGTGATGGATAAAATAACGTCAGTTTGATATTTGAAACCTGTTATAAAAAGGCCAGGTAATCCACAAGAGGGAAGCGTACCCATCTGCTGCCGGACTTTCCCAAATTGTCTTCCCTCCAGAAACTTTCGCAACACTTCCATTCTCAAACAGAACAATGGCAGCGTTTCCACCGGTAGCCTGCAAATCCTTGATCTTTTCCACAAACGCCGTCTCCCAAATAAGTTTACCATCCATAGCGTCAAACGCTTTGACATCTCGATCAACGGCAGCGATCACTACCCCCTCAGCTTTTCGGGCAACGCCGGACGAGGCTCCACACTGCAAGAGATGCCTCCAGATAATAGATCCATCCCTAGGGTTAATGGCCGCGAGAATAGACCTAGAGGTGAGAGTGTATATGAGGGAAGCTTTGGCGTCTAAAGCCGGTCTATGAAAGAAGGTGGAGGATGGAATTGACGCTCCAATGAGAGCGATGTGCCAGTCGTTCTGGTAAGCCTCGTCTCTGTAAGTAGCACTCACGGTAGGTAATAGCAGGAGCACACCCAACAGGGCTCGGAAGAATAAACGCATTGCGGAAGGGCGATACGAATGGCAGAAATGAAGTAGAAGAGCTAGGAAGGGGGTTTGTGGGGCCCTGGTGAGTTGGTTGTTCGGGCGAGAGAGGGATGGGGGTGAGTTTTATCGACACTGCTGTCCGCGAGGTTGAAGGGTTGCTCAGTTGGACACCTCTGGTTCAAACCCCTGTGTAACGTTGGTCTGCAGCGGGTATCTGTCATGCTGGAGTTGGGGCTCACGGGCTCCTCCATATGGCAAGCGGGGAACTGAAGATCAAGTTGGCTTGCACTCCTCCCCGTATTCAACAACATGCACAAATAAAGCGGATACACTTTCCATCGAAAGTCCACCCGAAACTATTAAATCACGTGACCTATCGCACAATGATAACTGTTCTTTTACGCCAAGGTGCGAAAACCAAGAAGAATCCCAAGCTCTCACTCGGAATGGCAGTTCTACATGAAGGCCTGTATTTGACGGAGGAAGGATAGGACGTGCTGTAGAGTTTCCGATTCAAAAAACCTATCCCTCCCCCTCCTCACACATCGCACCGTAATATTCTGACCGATGTTGAGCAAGATTTCCCGAAAACATGCCCAACACGTGGAAGCGAAATGGGAGCCCTAGTGAAGCATGCCGCTTCACACACGAATTAAGGTGATCGGTCCTTCGACATCATTACCCTTCTCATCTGTCTTTCAAGCACAGGTGGCATTTTGGTGTTGAGGTTTGGAACGGGTGATGGCAGTTGGCGAGGGCGTGACGGATGTCGTCATAGTCCCTGGATTCCCAAGGCGCGTTACCCGAGCTGGCGGATTGTTCCTCCAATACTCTCAGTTAGACCTCGAGCAAGCCACGCGGGTTTAGTAGCAGCAGTTCATGAGCTGCACACAAGATGAGGGGGGATGAGGCGAGATGGATAAGCATATCACCACATTTTTGATGTATATTCTTTAGGGTTGGGTTGGGTGAAGGAAGGAGAGTTGCGGGAGGAGGGTTCAAAGGGAAGCATCTATATTTTCTATGGTAATATTATTATGATATCGTATGTATCACCCCCCACGAACGGACGCTAAACCTTATCAAGATCATCGACGGCCATCGTGTTGCACTCAGGAGGAAATTTACGCTTTTTCCCGCCTCTTCACGTCTGGAAGGTTGGGTTGGCGCGCCCTGTTTTTTCCTCACCGAATAAATAAAAATGATAATACAATGATAATCCGCCCGAACTTTTGTTGCCCATTTTTTCATTTGTAATTCCTATTTTTCGATAACACATTTTTCCAAGTCTCACCCTACTATCCCAAAGCTCTCCCTCATCCATTCCCTTCGCTGAGAGTTTTGGGACGCCGAGAAGGTTTCCATTCAACGCCAAAGGAATCTATCTAAACTCGCCCGAGCCCCAGCAACTCTCCCGATCCTACACCTAATTACCTACCACTCGCTTCACTTCATCTACCCTCACTTCCTTCCGTCGGTGTCTTCGCTGAACCTTGCGCTTGTCAACTTTCTTTCTTCTCTTCTCCCCATCTCTGGGACACCCAGCAGCCTCACTCCTCCCGTTTCGACATTTCGACACCAGTTCTAGAAGCCGGGCGCCGCTTCCGTCGCCTCTTCACTTGCTGCATATCCTAACACTGCTACCGGTATTGTAGCTATTATCATAGTTACTCACCTTGTCTTGACCTGCGCTGCTGCTTCTACTGCCAGGCCTGTCCCTCGTTTGGCTGCTGTGTGTGCTAATAATCCAACCTTCCCATACCCACCATCCACCCACCCACCCACCACCCCCCCGCCTCCATACGCACAAAGCTCTTTTGCTTCTTCGCGTTTCCAACTTTACCCTTCCATTGCCCACGCGACTAGCTCTATTTGCGTTTTTCTGCTCGCCTCATTCATTCCTAGCCCTATCAACCGTCTTACACTTCTCTAGCTTCGCCTGTCGCTCTCCCCATCTACCAAGGTTTCGTTTAATTTAATCGACCCTTCTGTAGATGCGACCTCTTCTGTAGGATCCCCACAATGTCGCGCGCAGGCTATGCCGACTTCTTCCCTGCAGCCCCCTCGGTTCTGGCGGAGAAGGAGAAGAAGAGAGCACAGGCTGAGAGGCAAGATAGAAGGGCTCGCAATGTCCCTGATGATTATGATAGGGAATCTAATGCTATTTCCGTTTCTGATCCGGGCCACATTCACTCTAGCTCTTGTGCTCCAATTTCTGTTGGTGTTTCATTGCCTTCCGGGCATCTCGTTACAACATCGACTCTCACACCAACTACAACCAGCTCCTCACCTCCTCCGCCATTGCTTAGTCCCTCCGCTGGAACAACTGCGAAGGGCGATTACCCTCCAAATAAATTGGCGGCTCAATCCACAAGTGCTAGGGAACCTTATCCGCTACCACCACCACCCATTCCTCCTCCACTAGCCCCCCTGACTCCAAAGGGCACACCCCCCGCTATCAAGTCTGATCCTTCTCGCAGAAATTGGAAAGTCAAATATGATCCATTCCTAGAGAAGAAAAGTACCACAAGGAAGAGCAGAGAACCTATTTTGCGTTGGGATGGAGAAGGGGTATGTGTTTACATTTTCTCCCCCTTTCTGCGTTACTGTGCTGTGGGATTGTTGTGGTTGTCATCGCGCCTCATCAGCGGGGCTTGTGTTCACTAACGGTTATAGATTACGACCCCCGTCACAGACCCCCGGCTAGAGGTTGGACGGTACACCGATGGCCCAAAGACTGGCAAGAAACGGCTTCGGTCGCAAGGGCTTTATAGGACGAGATGGAAATGGGATGAGAATTATATTGGACCTGGCCCGCCCTCCCAGATCTTGATTACGGGGCTATCCCCCCTCACAACTGAGACGGAAATCTCGATGCACTTTAGACCACACGGGGATATTCAAACATTGGAGATTCGGATTGACCCTGCGACCGGAGGCTCTTTAGGAATATGTTCAATCATTTATCGAGATGGTCCAAGGTCCAGATCTCCAGCCCATGAGGCTGCAAAAAGAGCAGCACAGGAGGTTAACGGTTCAAGAGTAGGAATTCAACGAGTTCGGGTAGAGTTGGATAGAGATGGGCTCAAGTGTAAAAAGCTGACCGGGAGAATACTTGAGGAAAAGCGACGGAAGGAGGCGGAGGCGGAGAAGAATCGGCTCAAACAACCCCTCAACATAAGCTACGGGGAATTAGGTTCTCGGCCACGCTCGCCGAGCGCCCGTGGGAGTTCGCCCTCTCGTCGAGACTCCCGGATAGATGGTAGGAGTGACGATCGGAGCCGGGATCAGCGTCCTACCCCAGCACCGAGGCCTGATAACTACAGGGCACTCGATCATGTCGGAAGACTGCCCTATATATTTATCACTTCGCGGTGCATTCCCGGGGATGAGCGCTATGTTCGACATCTTAACGGTCGGTTAAAAAACTTTGGTTTGAAAGACATCTTGTGGGATAGAACTGGGTTTTATGTTGTGTTCTGGGAACGGCGGGATATGGAGCGTTGTTTTAAAGTTTGCGATGGAGACAGGCTATTCTCCTATACAATGATAATGGAAAAACACCCCGGCAGTAATCGGTCACCATCTCCGCCCCCGGTAGCTCGACCCGAGCTAAGAAAAATGGGACCTAATGAGCTTGTCGTGGAAGCAACAAATGCCCTAATGAAGGATATGAAATTAGTTTTGATGAAAGATCTGAGGAAACGCTTGGCTGCCCCAACGATTTACGACTCCCTTGAAGTTGGAAGGTTTAATAAACGGCGTAAGGTGGAGGAGGAAGAAGTACAAGGAATTACTGCAGGTAGTCACCAGGTTCTAGCCGTTTCTTTGGAAGCAAGCATTCGCTCACCGACTACGCTCTTGCCTACCTTGGCTCTCAAATCCACCGAAAAGCTGACCTCGGCGGTGGCAAAGTCGGCTTTACAGAAGCCGACTGCGCTTCCGCGGTTTAAGAAGCGAATATTAACTAAGGCAGAAGATTCAAGCACACCGGAAGCATCTCCATTATTACACGGATCTAGGACGAGACTCTCCAAGGCGGATGCCCGGCCTTTAGCACATCGATTGAATCAGTATAATTCCGACGCTGGATCAGATGACGAGTCAACTATCACTGAAAATAGGCCTGTTTCCCGGGGGTCTCGTGCCTTATCACTGGATACCGGGGATGACGATTCTGTTAGCGTTGCACTTTCAGCAAATGAAGGATATCGAAAACGGAAAAGGAGCGTTGGGCCTACCTCCAAACTTAGGGATACTGCTGTTTCTACAGATGATGAGGATCATAGTCTTGAGAAAGATGATGGGTCGCAGGGTTTACATGATCTGAAGAAACCCCGAATTGATCACCCTAGGCCCTACGAAGATGGGGAGGTGTTTATGGGGGACGAGGTAGATGAGGAGCCTGCTGTTGCCACTCCACATCGTACATCCACTACCACTCCTCAATTAAAGCCGATCACGAAAAATAAATCTCGAACTATCGAAAGTGATAGTGAATACTACGAGGATGAGATGGTGTTCACCAAGGCAGATCCCAAAGATGAGAGTGAACTGGTCAATGTGCTAGACGATGAAGATGATAGAGGTCCGGAGATTGAGATCCCCAATAGGACTACCCTGTCGAGAGAACCCCGTAAAAGGATTAAGACTACGGAGTCCAGAACCAACAGGGATCTTCTCGCTGTCCCGTCTTTCGATGCGGATGAGGAGAAACATGATAGTGAGATGGCTGGAATGGACATTGAGGTTTCATGGGGTGTTTCTACAACAGAAGGCCCAATGGTCACAGTCCAGGATGACCCAGATGCTATTCTTGATATCGATAGCTTGCAAAATCTCGTTAAGGACGCGGAAGACTTCAAATTTTTAGCTCAAGCCCTGGCAGCTGTGGAGCCGGCAGATTTGGGGAACGTTCAAGCTTGGGCATATAAGGAAAAGCAACTGAAAGTCGCGCAAAAACAAAGTAAGTCTCATTGACTCGCTCTCTTCTAACCCCCTTCTCTTCCTACACTGCTAATACTTGCTATAGGCATTGCCCGCAGCCAAGAGAAAATCGAGGGATTTTATCGTCCCAACCCAACAGGTTGCGCTCGCACTGAAGGTTACCGCCGTGTCCCAGAAGCCGAAAAGTCAATGTATCTTCCCCATCGGCTCCAGCTCGCAGCAAAGGTCAAATCAGCAGCAAACAAAATCCCAGAAGTTACCGCAGCCGCTGTCACTAACCCTACAAAGAATCCTTCCTCAACCTCACGCATGAACCGTGTTAACAATCGTCGTCTTGTTGTTGGGTTGAACAACCAAAAGCAGATGCTGTCCTCCGACGCGGACGTTATGCGTTTTAATCAGCTTAAGAAGCGCAAGAAGCCTGTCAAGTTTGCCCGCTCCGCCATCCATAATTGGGGTCTATACGCGATGGAGAACATCTCCGCTGGTGACATGATCATTGAATATGTTGGCGAAATCATTAGACAGCAGGTGGCGGACATGCGGGAGAAGAAGTATCTCAAGAGTGGAATCGGTAGTTCCTATCTTTTCCGTATTGACGATACCACTGTTATCGACGCTACCAAGGCGGGTGGTATAGCCAGGTTCATCAACCATAGCTGTACTCCCAATTGCACCGCGAAGATTATCAAAGTTGAGGGAAGCAAGAGGATTGTCATCTATGCATTGAGGGATATCCGCGAAAGTATGGCTCCCCTTCTCCAACCAAGCGTTCACCCCATTATTGTGCGTGTGCGCTAACTATCGCACTCCTAGACGAGGAACTCACATACGACTATAAGTTCGAACGCGAGCTCGAGAGCGAGGAGAGAATCCCATGTCTTTGCGGATCAAGTGGTTGTAAGGGCTTCCTCAATTAGTGTTCTTCCTGTTCTCCATCACCTGATCTCCTTCCCCATCTCATCTAATAAATCAGTGCCATTCCTTCTATATCACTTGCTGTCATTTCTCTCCGTTTTTCTGGGTTCTTTTACATGACCGCATTCGTTTCATTAGGGCCTGGGCTGCGTTTCTACAATTTTTCTTCTCTCGTCATTCCGTCTTTTTTTACTGCAAGGTATGATGCTTGATTGCTTGCCGGAGGGGTATTTAAAAAAAAGTTTTCTTGGGGTTTTGTTAATCTTTTCTTTTTGCCTTTCTTTGCCTATAATCACTGTATTCAGGCCCTGCTGGTTTACCCTTTTCTCTTTTTACACTTCTTGTACCAAATCACTTCCTCATCTTCCCCATTTCCATTTTCATTCCCACACGTCGGTTTACCATATATGGGTGTGGTGTGTTTCGCGGAGTTGGTCTTACCTGGTGCATGGGTACTGTCCCGGGCAGCAGTTGGGGCGGGAAGTAAGTCAGTATGGAGTTGCTGCCGTGAGGCAAATAGCCAGAGTCTGGTAAAATGTATCAAGGAAATTCAAGTGTGCACGAGAGGTCTGAAGGGAGTACGTGAGAGAGGCGGGGAGGGGGATTTTCATGTACCATATTTCAGCATACAGTATGTACTGTAGTACGGGGGTTCATTTATTCCCGATTGTTGTTTGTTGTGGGCTTTAGTTTTATTTTATTCTCTCTGGTGTTGCGATGCGAATAGGATGAATGGATAGAGTGGATGGAACTGGGGAAGGGTGGGAAATGAGGGGAAGGTGTAAATATCGTAGATGGAATTGAGGGACCTGAATGATTTAGGGGGAGAGCAAAAGGAGTAGTAGGCAGTGAGAGAATTTTTTTTTCGTTCCAGACACTTCCTAGGATGCACTATTATACCAATAATTGATTTATTCTCAGACTATACATAGATCTCAGCGAGCGCCCCACCCCAAACCAACAGAAGGGGAGAGATACCCAAATGCCCAGGCAACAAAAAATTCGCAATCCCCTGGTGGATGGCATATTCATGCCCGCAATTCCTACACACTAACTTCCCTTCAACAACTTGCGTCTACTCTCCCGTTAGTCCCCTTGCCTGCCCCCATCCCGGGCCCCGAGGGACTCACAAACCTCAATCAATATTCGGTGTAGCGCCATCCCAACCCTCTCATCCACCACAGTCGGCTTCTCTAGCGGCAAGTTGGTAAAACCGAGCTCGGTTGCGGTGGTCAGGAGCGCGGACCAGTCTAACCGCGGAAGGATATTAGCAATGAAGGAGGCGTTGAAGGGCGAGGAATCTTGCTGCAGCTCAGCATCGCGGAAATGTAGAGGGAATGAATTCGGATGGGATTTGCAAGTGCGGAGCGCACAGGTCAGGTAATTTGTTGTTAGGATCTTCATGGCGATAGACACCGGGGGGGTTGGTAGAGGTGTTTACTGGACAGATGAGAGGTGATGTGGAATATGAGTTTGATGAAGGAAAGAGACTTGGCGTTTTGCAGTCATATATTGTCACTCGGCAAATTGGACGATGGATTTTTGGCGGTCACGTTCAGTCCCGTCCGTTAGTCTTCGCATCCCGGGATTGCCACGACTCGTCCACCACGACTCGTCCACATCATCTCGGAGTCAAAGAGGACTTGAAGAAGGAGATTTATATCATACCTATGTTTCGAAATTAACTGTTAATTATAGGGTCAAAAGAGTTAAAGATACAAAGGATGGAAACACCTAAGTTGTAAAAAGTGGGAGAAGACTAAGCAAGATTACCAAAAATATCAACATAATTGTTCTTCTGCCCCCCTATACTTCTTGTAGGTCTAATAAACGAGAAAATGTAACTATAAATGAAACTTTTATAGGTATGTCAGAATGAGGTACATCTGGACATGCTTTTTGTATTGGGATATTTCAGATAAAGTTTGACCGACTTATTCTAATAGCTATTCCCTTAAATAGGCAATCTTGTTCCCATTCAACTGACACACTTGGAGAGAATTCCTTCCTTTTTGCTAATAAGTTTTCCTTAATAAATTGGTTCTTACTAAGTCCTTCTATATTTTCTTCCTACTTATTCTTCACCTATAATCAGGTTGTTTGTCTGAGCTCTGTTCACATTTTTCATTTTAATAGTACTTAGTACTTATATTTGGGAAGTTTCCTACTATTACATGAATATTACTATATATATATGTTTGATTTTATATCATGTTTTCATTATTAAGGTACAGTCATGTCTGAAAAGTCTACGTACTTTTGCTTGACAACATTGCAACCAACGATCACCTCAACATCATCTCCTACTATGGCATCACTACACTCCCAAACCCTCAGAAATGATCAGAAAAGGGAAATCTATGCCCTCTATAAATATACTGATATGGGGTATGGTAAAATTTCAAAGTTTATGAACCTCTCCAAGTCAACAGTTTCAACAGTGGTTAAAAAGGAGAAATTTAAAAATGGAAACACATATGATACCTCCAGATCTGGCAGACCAACCAAGAATACTGATGCCAAAAGGCAAGTAATTCTTGATATTATTGATGTTGAGCCTTATTTAGTCCTAAGAGACATTACTCAAAAAGCCAATATTGGACTTGGCAAAGATACTGTTAGCAAGATATCCAAAGAAGCTGGATTTAAGCTCAGGATACCTAGGAAAAAGCCTTTTTAGAGAAAAGGACAGAAGGAGAAGAGAAAGGAGTTTGCTAGAGTGTGGAGGAACCAGACAAGAGTTTGGAAATAGGTGGTTTTTGTGAATGAAGCCACAATTGAATATGATCTAAATCTAGTAGGAAGAAAGATCAGACTTAGACTATGTGAAGAGTTGGAAGAAAAGAACTTAAAGCTTAGTTTTAAGTCAGGACACACTAAGATAGGTGTATATACTGCAATGATGCATGGAGGGAGGACTGAGCTCATTCTTGTGAGAAAGAGGACTGAGGAGGAAAGGGCCAGCAAAAGAGACAGACTTGATCTCAATTTCCACCAATATGTAACTGAGATTTACCAACCCTACCTCATCTCCTTTATAGAAGCCATAGACAGAGCTCCTCAAACTATCTATATAGCTGCTGATAATGCATCATGGCATAATGGAGCAGAAAACAAAAAATTGCAAGAGGACTATAGATATCAAAGATTGACTTGACCTCCCAACTTACCAGATCTCAATTCTATTGAGAATACCTGGACAAATCTCAAAAGAGCACTCAGAAAGCGAATCTCCCAGGTTGAGAGAAGGTCCTATAGTATTGCTGAATTATTTCAGGCAGCAAAGGAAAAGTTGGACCTCATTCTCCAGAGGATATTTGATAGATGGATTCAGAGGATGCCTGAGAGACTTCATACTGTATTAGATGCAGATGGAAGCCATACAAAATAGTAGCATTGAGAAACTGTTTTTTTCTATTTCTACTATTATCTATTTTAAAATTGTACTCATATCTTTTTTTTGTTGTAGTCAATGTCATTATTTGTAGTGGTAGTACCGTTGCCATGAGGGGTACGTAGATTTTCAGACATGATTGTACAAGAACTTGTATATAAGTATTGTAATATGAAAAATGTAATATTGTGTTTTCAATACCTTAAAAACTTCAATAATTGGACAGTGTACTGAGAAGTTAAGAGAGAGTATGTTTTGCTAAGAGATTTTCATGTATCTGAATCAATATGGGTTTCACTAATTTTTGGCCACTACTTATTGTGAAAATTTCTCACCTCTATATCATTAATGTTCTCTTTATCTTCTGACCTAATCACATCCTCCACCCCCTCTTACTCAATTTTAATAACATTTTCCAATTCCTTAACTCCTTCAATCCCCCTAACCTCCTACTCTCTCAAGCCTTTTATACGGTATTTATTTACTAATTTTTTAATGAGTAAGTATTAGTACTTACTCCTATTATTTGAGAGTTAGAGACCTACTGCTTTAAATACTTTGTGGACTACCTTTTGTCTGTTGAGTACAAACTGCTCTCCGGTGGATACTGTACAGGTAATAGCAACCCATCAGTGGTCCACCATGCTTCAGTTAAATCTTTCTTTTTTCTCAAATATAATAAAAACTAAAATATTTAGCAGTAGTGCTAAGAAGTTAGAACTACATTAGCAAATATAAACAGTTGCATACAGTGGGTTCAGTGGGTCTGACACACTGGGTGCTGGGATGCTGGCCGTGATTCAGGACACATGTAGATTTGACAACTGAAGTCAGAATGTAACAGGATATAATAGGATATAACAAGATGTAACAGGATATAACAGGATGCAACAGGACGTAACAAGCTACAGTCCTACAAACTGGAGACAGCTTGACATGATAACTGATTTCCGAATACTACTCTTTAAATACAGAACTCACAGGATATGGACAATACAAAGCATAACTTATGCCTGAGTTATTGTAAAAAGAGCTTCAATATTGTACTTTAAGATTTATCTTTCTAGATCCAGTAACTAGGTTTCAAAAATTGAGTAAGGATTAAGAAGTATTACAAAATCTAATAGGTACTATAGGAAGTATCTCTACCAGTATGAATGCCCAGTATATCTTCTTTACAAATTGGGAATTGAACGTCAAGTAGGTATAGGATGCAAAGTGTCAGGTTGCATGTCCGGGAATTCAGGATGGAATCTGGCATCAAAGATAGCATATAGTCAGAACCTTACCAGAAAAGACCATATGTATAATAGCCCATATCTCTACTAATATCAAGCATATTTTCCTTTTGCCATTAAACAGCTAGTGTGTAAATAAAATTAGATTCAACTACTTAAGTTCTTTCTTAACATATATAATATAGAATATTATCTCATATTTACGTCTCATAGATCTACCTATGGGAAAAAGCTTATGACAAGTATAGTAAACAATGTTGAAATACTAAAGAAAATAAAAGTATTTTTATAAGAAACAGGAGACAACTAAGTGACAGTCACTATATTTCACAATAAGGAAATAATATCACATATGTTTACTACAACTGGACTTGTTACAGTAACCACTTAGTACATCGAGACTATTGCCAAGCAGAACCTCTAGATGATCATTTTCAGGCTAAACTATTTATAGAAAAAAAAAAGTAAAACATATAAAAAAGATTGAGGTTTTTAATATGAGTATCTAGTACCCACTCTTGAGCTACATATATCTCTACCAATATACCAAGGACTTTAACCTGTTCATTTAGGACTCAGTGAACAGAGCAAATTCAAGGCTGGTATTTGTAGAATCAGAGGTTACCGGGAGTTCTACATTTTCCTATTCCAAAAGTCCATAGACCATCTCGCCTTCAGACCTCGTCCAATTACCAAGAACGAGTTTGCCTGAACCAAATCTTTTGATATTAAGTTCTTGATCACAAGAGCTATCAATGGGTAAGGATACCTGTATCTCTAAAGGATTGAATAATCATATTCTGTCGTGATTGAGCCTTATTCCACTCTTCCCAAGCTCTTCCAACTGCTTCTGTAGTAATAATACAGTATTGACTTGTACTTCATCTTTCAATATCCTCAAGAGCTTCTTTCTCTTCTCGGATTTCCTCTATGCACTCTTTGATTAAGCCTTTAAAAGGCTTATTTAGGGCAATATCCAAAGGTTGAGTAAGTGGGGTTGTACCGGCGGGAATCAGGGAAGGGATAATTTTGTGTTTCTGACAGGTTTCAATAACAGAGGAGGTAAGATAGGCTCAATAGTGATCAAAAACAAACAAGGCTCTTTGGTCTCCAACAATTGGTACCAGAAATTATAGGATAAATTTCTTGAAGAGCACTTCATTCATCCAACCAGTTAGTGAAAACTCTACATGAACGCAACTATTCCACAGGTGAGATTTGCATTCCCTTATCTTGGCCTGTTGAGTGCTGTAAAAATAAGAACAGGAAATACCCGAGGCACCCCATCAGCAAATATATAAAGAAAACGTATACATTGATGTTTTTCTGATCCAGACCGAGCACTTCTAGACTATACAGTTCTTGCCCCTTGTATATCATATATCGTACCAGATAAAAACTCTCATGGGAGAAGAGTCTTATCCATATTGCAAATATGATGTTCAGGAAATCTACCATGATCATCATTACATATGTAGTGAGGAGAGAGGGGACTTGGAGAGGCCTAGAGGGGAGAAAAAACCAGAGAAATAAGGGTTCAATTTTGTCAATTAAATTTTAACCAGCTCAAAATATCCTTCTTATAGCTATCTGGTAGAGACTAAGCCATATTGGTGACAAACTGCAAAACAACACAATGACCGGATAAGAATCTATGAAACTAGCATTGGGAGAATACAAACAATCCTGGTGGAAGATCAGGATATGTTGTTTTCTAAAGTTCCTTTGCCTTTTTGCGAAACCATCCATCTCTTGCCGGACAACCATGAGCTTGACGGGCTAAAACAGCCTCAATTAGCTTTAG